AAGAAGCGAACAATAAACGAGTCCGCTTAAATTGGTCGTCTTAAGTAGGGCTCGAGTGTAGACTAGCTCAAAACCAAATAACAAGGTTTGAGCGAATCCATCGAATTTTTAAATACTTTATTAGCCATTTTGGAACCACCAATCTTATTTTATAAAATCCATATTCAAATTCGTAATCACCGACCCCAAAAATCCCCGAGTAACAAGTTTCAAGCAAATCTGGTAATTTTTAAAAAAATTTTGGTTGCCATATTGGATCCACCATTTTGAATTTTGAACATTTTTAAAATCTGACTTTAGATTCGTAATCAGCGACCCCAAAAACCCCCGAGTAACAAGTTTCAAGCAAATCTTATAATTTTTAAAAAAATTTTGTCGCCATATTGGATCCGCCATTTTGAATTTTTAAAATATGACTTTATATTCGTAATCAGCGACCCCAAAAATCCCCGAGTAGCAAGTTTCAAGCGAATCTGATCAAATTTTAATAAAATTGTCCGCCATATTAGATCCGCCATCTTGAATTTTGAAAATTTTTAAAATCTGACTTCAGATTCGTAATCAGCGACCCCAAAAACATAAGTGTGACCCATTATCCAACAAGTTGCAATTATTTTCTCAAGGTAATTAATACATTTGTTTGCTGAGTTAGTAAAAAAATTTGCAAAACATGGTACAGTAAGGACGCCGTTTTGAATTTTTTAATTCGCCACTTTTTATTCGAAGCAGTATGAGCTGACGATTATTTTGAGCCGTAATAAGTTTATTTTTGTTGATTAGAATTTTTGGATGGAGCTCTGGGCCGGTTGACGTGAAACGTCCCATATATATAGCAAAGTGAAACGTTATATTTTTGAAATTAAATGGTACTCTACTTTTTTTTCTTTACTTGCATTTAAATAAATATAATCTATTGACTATTGGAATAACTCTTCACATCGTAAAAGAAGGATTATATAAATTTTGTAACAATATAATATTTGTTTTTAATATTGAAATGAGTTTAAATCGTAAAAATGATATATAATGTTACTAATATTATCCTAGAATTGTACTAGATGTAAATTTTTTAGGTTACAGTTATTCCACGTTGTCATTTATTTTATTATTAAAAAAATCTTTGATCATGCTCGTCAAATTGAAGCTCCTTGATAGAGAAACGAGAAGCGAGACGAGGTCTCGGTATAAATTAGCAATTATCTTGTCTGAAAATGGTTATTTTTCGATTGTTTTAATTGAAGTGCATTACTAGTAACAATTCTTGAAATTTCAAAAAAGTTTCAAAGTATGAATTACACGTGTAGTTACACGTGTATAAAATTAGTAAAATTTTCTAGAAATATTTAAGTATAGATTACACGTGTAATTTGTGGCGAACTATTTACTAGATTTAATTTAGTTTAATTTAAGAACGAGTTACTAATTAATTATTAAGTTTTATTTAATGAAAATAAAAAGAAGTGGGTGTCGACTAATAAATAGCGCACACAAGAGAGAGAGAGAGAAGCTTTCACTAACGACGATAATTCCAATAAAGTAGTTTGCTGTGTATTGCAAGCATCACTCATAGACGGATCAAATGTAGAGAGAATCGATCGAACTTACCGATTACAGGAGACAAGATTCTATCGATTTCCAGATATTCACGCGTGAACACAGCAAACCAGCAACCAATTTAATTAATCCAATTAATGAGACAATACACAATAATAAATTGAATATAATGTTTTTATTCACCACACACGTTTAATATAAAAATATTCTTTATTAACTATAAAAAAATATAACTTCACGCGTATGCCAAAAGTTGTGTCGCAGCACAATCACGTACAAGATCGCAATTCTTTCTGGCGGCAATATTTTCGACGCCTGGTACGTGCACGCGATTTTGTCGTATGCTCGATTAACCATCGAGCGCTCCATCTACAACTTTCACGACGGAGTAATTCAAATTATTTTTTTACAATAGAAATAAAATACAATAGGAATTATACACCCATAATGAGTAACAAGGACATATTTAATTAAATAATCAAAATGATTATTTTAATCGTTACAAATTACACGAGTAAAAAAAACTGCTGCCAAGTTGAGGTATGAACTTTTTGTGTTCATCAAATGAACACTTTGCTTCCCCATGGAGATCTTTTGTGATTAATTTATGGTAACTTATTTGGTATTATAATAATTTTCAGAAGGTGTTCAGTTGTATTTTTTGAGTATTTGCAGAGATAGATTTCTAACATTAATAACTTAGTAATATTTTACAATAAAAAGTTCAATAATAGGTCAATTGATTCGTTTTTAAATATTCTCCAAGTTTTTCATAATACTTTTAAAGATACATAAAGATTTTTTAATAAATAATGCATAAAAGAAAGGTTTTTCAAAAATTTTCAATTTCAAAATGTTAATAAATCTAAATAAAGTAACAATATGATATTCGAAAATAGGTGAAAAGATGCGCCTTGAAAAACTCTACAAAACTAGAAATAAATATCCATTGGTGTCAATACACTTTTTTAAAGTTTTGGAAAAAAACGTGTTTCTTTAATCTTTAAAAATTAAATAACTTTGGATAGAATGATATTCTATCTCAAAAGATGCGTCTTAAAAAACTCTACAAAATTAAAGAAAAATATTCATAGGTATACTAACATTTTTTAAAAGTTATTGGTAAAAATCGATTTTTCAAAAATTTTAAAATGCAAAAAAAATAATATTTAATCTTTATTAATATTGCTAAAACTACTTTCATTATTTGTTCGCCAGTAAGACCTACAATTAAAAAAAATAACTCTTTAGCTCTTATAGTATTCGAGATATTCAAGAGAATGTAGTGTTTATACACACACACGGAATGACATTTTTTAAGAATGTGATTTTTGTATTCTTGAGGTCGGAAAACATAACGATACATCAAAAAATTTCGGTATTACAATACAACAATACAACAAATAAAATGTTCGAAAAATATCAAAGTATCTATTACACGTGTAACAATTCTTGGAAATTTAAAAATGTTTTAAAGTATGAATTACACGTATAACTACACGTGTTTTAATAAAAATTTAATAAAAGTTTCGAAAAGTATCAAAGTATCGATTACACGTGCAAAAGGTTTGAAAAATGTCAAAGTATCAAATACACGTGTAGTTCCACGAGTAACAATTTATGAAATTAAAAAAAAAATTAAATATGAATTACACGTGTAAAAATTAAATAAAATTTTCGAGAAGTATCAAAGTATCGATTACACGTGTATTTCCATGTGTAACAATTCTTAAAATTTCAAAAAAGTTTCAAAGTATAAATTACACGTGTAATTACATGTAGAATTTATTGAAAAATGACTTTCAAAAAAGAACGAATTACACGTGTAATTACATGTGAACAAATCTACAGGTGTCTTATTTCAATAGGAATACATATATGGCAATTGTTTCTGTAGAAAAAGGCAAATTTTACTTTGTTTACTCTCAAGTTACAAATGCATCTTATTAATCAAGCGTTTATGACAGTTGTGTGAAACAAAGTTTAGCTTAAATATTTTCTTAAACAAGTATTTAATTATTAATGAATTATTATTTTATTAATACTTCTGAAAACTCTTTGATCCATTTTTATAATAAAATGTTTGCTTGGTTTACTAAGGTTAGAAATGCATGTTATTAATTAATCGAATATGACATTTGTGTAAAAAAAATTTCAGCTTAAATATTTTGTTAACAAATATTTATTTATCAATTAAATATTACTTTATTAATACTTCTGAAAACACTTTGATCCGTTTTTATAATAAAATGTTTGCTTGGTTTACTAAGGTTAGAAATGCATGTTATTAATCAAGCGAATATGACATTCGTGTAAAACAAATTTTAGCATAAATATTTTGTTAACAAATATTTATTTGTCATTTAAATATTACTTTATTAATACTTCTAAAAGAACTTTGATTCATTTTCATAATAAAAATATAGTTTTAAAATTGTTGATATAACTGTCGTTATCCTGGGAATAAAGCAAAAATTGCCATATATGCATTCACTTTAGTTATACGACAAAAATTTCCGAATTCTAAGGTCGCTTCCACAATAAGTTGTAGATAAACGATAAAGCGTCGATTGTTCAGCGCAGCGATTAAGCATCGATGTTCGATTAGAAGCGCAGTACTGTCAACTACTGAAATAAAATGTTCACATTTTTTACAGTTTTGGTTTTGTTTACAATCTGATACATAACTTCCAAATCTGTTTTTTGGTTCAAGTTTTATTAATCTGATTAACCTTGCTAGATTAAGAATCGCCAAACAGATTTGGAAGTTATGTATTAGATTGTAAACAAAACCAAAACTGTAAAAAATGTGAAAATTTTATTTCCGTAGTTGGCAGTACTGCGCTTCTAATCGAGCTGAATCGCTGTAGAGATCCTCAAGGGAGAGTTAACGTAAGTCGAGCTGAACTATCATTAGTAGAGGGTAACCGGAATCAGAAGTTAATCCAAAATTTATTTGATTTGTTCGAAATGAGCACGGTTGTTTGAAATTGTGTTTATTAAAGGCATTTTAAAAGATCCCGCTCATTTTGACAAATAGTATATCATATTTTTTTATCACTTTCGATTCCGGTTACCGGAAAAAGTAGTGGAAGGGGAAACATGCGTCAACTCTCCCTTGAGGATCTCTAAATTGCTGCACAATCGACGATTTATCGTTCATATAAAAGTTATTGTAGAAGCGACCTAAAACATATTCTATATTCTTTTTTTTCAGTGTATAGCATTGATGAAACAAGACAACTATGGTTAGAAAAACATGCTTCTCAGAGATAACATTGTAGCAACAATAATAAATTTAATAGAACAGTGGACACTAGTGTTACCTATTTAGTTTTGAGACCGTGTATCTATGACACCAATGACCAGCACCACCACCACCACCACAAATTAGTTTTTGAGATAACCCCAACTCGCCCTGCTCAACTATAAATATTTGTACTTACTTTGTGCTGTGCGGAAATCAGCAAAATTCCATATGAATTCACCAATGAAGAAACCTTTTGCTCTTAGTTTATCAAAAGCTTCAAAATGTTTAGAAAAGACCTCTACTTGATATTCTTCACTCCAAACATATCCCGGTAACTATAACACAAAAAATATATAAACTTGAAACAAAACAGTTTAAACTTATGTGAAGTGTGGTAATGCAGACAGAAATATACTGATCGTACTGTAATATACCTACAAAAAAATTATTAGGCATGCAGGATTCAACCAGAAAGAAATATTTTTACATGTACTACCTACTTTAAAGAAGGTTCAAAAATGTGAAAATTTCAGGAATTTTTTTCTCAAACACATTGAAATAAACTGATGCAAGTTTTTGTGGATGTTTTTTGATATATTTAAACCTTTAAAATATAATTTTTTCAATAAGAAAAAAAAATTTAATAATTAAATAAACGTCATATATGTATAGTAAAATTCCTCTAGTGTAATAACATAAGTGAAAAAAAAATTGATCGGATTGAGCAGTACATTGCACATAGTTTAGCTTTAGGGGGGGTACTTTAACCACGAAGTATTGTTAGGTATTTTCAAAAGCTGTAGGTGAGGGGGGGGTTGAATTTTGTTAAAAAATTTAAACAGTGAATTTTTGAAGAATTATAACTTTTAACAAAAAAAATGAAAAAAAATTTGACCTAAATGTTTTTCAAAGGTTTTTTTCTGCTTTTTTGAATAGTGCAAATCGACGCCTCCCGTTCATATAATGCTTATTGAAACTGCAATGCAATATAAGTCTTATTCAAATTTTCGTGCCATATAAGTATTATTGAAAGTTCAGTGCTATACAATTCTTATTCAAGTTTCCGTGCAATATAATTCTTATTTAAATTTCCGTGCTATATAATTCCTATTCAAAATTGCGAACAATATAATTCTTATTTAATATTAAATGTAAAATATTTTTTGGTTAACAGAATGATATGCTCAAAATAGTTTGAGATATATTTAAAAAGTAAATTAGATATAAAACGCGTTTCATTCATGCGTACTATCAATTATGAGACCGTTCACAAATTACGTAACGTTTTCCTGAGGAAATTTTAATCTTTATACCAAAAAAATGAAAAAGTTTTTGACATGGGATTTGATACAAGAAAAATTTTCCAAAAAATGAAAAAGAATTGACTTGAGTATTGATTTGGGGAAATTATACCAAAAAATTGAAAAAGGTTTGACATGGGATTTGATATGGGAAAATTTTTCCAAAAAATGATCATGGATTTTCCTTGGGTTTTAATTTAGGGAAATTGGGTTGTTCAGAGTATAGTGTAGTTCAGGTCTACTGAATATTGATTTGTGGATTATTGATCTATTAAATATTGAAATATTGATTTATTGAATATTAATTTGTGGAATAGTGAATTATTGAATATTGATTTACTAGATATTGATTGATTATTATTGATTTGATTTTGGTAAGTTTTAGTGCACTATATACATAACACAGATAAAAACTCTATTAAACACATTGTTTTAGTCTATGTACTAACTAGTATTTTGATTCTATCTCAACTTTATAAAATATATGTTTTTCTTTGGGGTTAAACAGTGACTTTTTATTTAAGGACGTTTACTCTCGAAAATGCAGACCTCTAGAAAAATATAATTAATTAACATTTATATAATTAAAATAATATTATTAATTGTACATTCTAAAGGTTAAGATATTAATTTTCAAGAAGAAAAAATTTAAAACCTACAAAGTTTATTTGTTTATACAATTTTCAATGCATAAAAAAATTTTTTATATTGCTTTTACAGAATTTTTAAAAAATGATTTGATTTCAATGTAATATGGATTATTTTCTTTAGAAAATGATTCTCTACAACTTCACAGTGGTGATTTTCAAACAAGCAAGCCGTTTGGAAAATACAGCTATTTGTTTAAAAAAATTCAAATTTTTCTTTTAAACAAATAGCTGTGTTCTTCAAACAGCTTGCTTGTTTGTGAAGTTGTAGAGAATCATTGTTCTGACGAAAATTAGCCATATTTAATAAAAATCGGAACATTTTTAAAAAATTATGTAGAAGCGATATAATAAAAAAATGTATCCTATGCAAATGTATAAACAAATAAATTTTGCAGGTTTTTAATTTTTTTCTTGAAAATTTATATTTTATCTTTCAGAACGTACAATTAATAAAGGTGCTTTTATACCTCAAATTTCGATCGGATGAACATTATTTCTGGACCGTGAAAATGCGTGAAAAGTCATTTTCACGGCGGGTATTTTTGAATTGTTTTATACAAAAAATGTTTTTTTAAGAAATATAATATTAAATAATTGTTTTAATATGTAAGAACACTTTAAAATAGTGATAGAGAGATGATTTGATTAAAAAATTTAGCAAATTTTGCTTTAAAACGTTTTCTGCTACAAGAATGTGTAAAATGACGATGTTTGTGAAATGGTTTGTACAGTGCTTCTTCCTTGTGAGTGTCTCTCAGAATTTTGTTTATGTTATGTCGGTTCTTTTTAACTTGTAATAAATAATGAGTGCTGAAAATAAATCGGTAAGTTGAAATGTTTATCAAATAAATTTAAATTCAACTAATTGTTTCGAATAACTGAAAGAAACATGTACACATGTACACTGTACAAACCATTTCACAAACATCGTCATTTTACACTTTCTTGTAGCAGAAATGTTTTAAAGCAAAATTTGCTAAATTTTTCAATCAAATCATCTTTCTATCATTTTTTTAAAGTGTTCTTACATATTAAGACAATTATTTAATATTATATTTCTTAAAAAAACATTTTTTGTTTAAAACAATTCAAAAATACCCGCCGTGAAAATGACTTTTCACGCATTTTCACGGTCCAGAAATAATGTTCATCTGATCGAAATTTGAGGTATAAAAGCACCTTTATGTTTGTTACAAACCGGAAAATTAATTAATATAAAATTATCAATTTTGAGGTTAGGGGAGGCACCAAGCTGCCAGAATTTAAAGTTAACTGAAAGTGTGTGAGAAAAGAAACTCGTAATTCTGTTTATTTTTATGTGGCATCGTTTATCCTTTTAGAACGTTCCGCCAAGCCACTATATAGAGAAAGAAAAATTGAAACTATTTGTTACGTAAAGGTACGGACTGGCCAGTTGAATAACAAGAATTCCAATCAATTAATCATATAATTAATTAGAATTCTTACTCAAGTTGGCTTCCACTGGACTTTGCCGGGTGAAGAATTTAATTTTATTTTCGTCCGCCCTTGTTTACTTATAACTTTGTATGAAGATCTAACACGGGTTTCGACTCGCGGACGAGCTTAGTCGCGGCGTTTCCAAACTTAAGAAACTCTTTTGCCAAACCAGAGCCAGGAGAAGTGTTTATTAATGAGCGAGGAAAGTTGTACTGCGTTAATTGAAATTTTGCGACATGCCTCTAGTCTTTACCTCGGGGTCTAGGTGGGATAATTTAGAATTTAGGAAGTAATAAAGAATAGAAGCAGGGAAAATACACGAGGCACATTGGACATTGCATTTTTGCTGACGTGTTTGAATCTCACGCTGGTCTTCGTGAGAACTTCTCTTTCCAATTCGGTGCAAGTTGATTCCGTTATAAAGAAACAAGTTTCTTTTGTATCAAGGTACTGTAACGTGAATGCAACATTTAGAAAAACATTAATAATTGTAATAAAGTGTAAAAGTCGTGTATATGAGTGAATATTAACGAACTGAAATCTTATAATTGCAACCTGTGTGACAGCCGTGTTCAGCCGGTTGCAGCCTGTTAATTGTCAGTTGAATCTAAGATAATAACTGTAAGTACATCTAATTCTTATTCTATAAAACATTTAAACAATAAATCGTCTTAAAAAGGGAATGTGCATATAATTTATTTAACGAGAACCCTTAGTTCTTTCAAAGTGACGCGATCCTACATTATAAATAAACGCAGATCTTACCAATCTGTTAATCAGCTAAACTTGCTTCTCAATTATTTATTTAACAATAAATAAAGTCTACCATTGCTCGGGACGTGACAATTTGTTACTGGGTAAAGAGTATATAAAATTTGATTTTTTTTAATGGTCCAAGGAAGGTAGAAACATTAAATTTAATTTTAGAATCAAAAATAAAAAAAAATCGATACTACGGAACATTATCCCTAGAAAATATGGATAAAATACAGAAAGAAAAATAAAAAAAAATTTCATGTAAAAGAAAGATAGCTATTCTGAAACGTTCTTTAATCTTATGTGAATTTGCACCGGGAGCATTCCTCTTTAAAAAGAGGACACCTTTTGAGAAAAGGACATCCCTAAAATATCACTAGGATATCCCAAAATCGTCCTCAGGATATCCACAGGACATCATACGGATATCCTCAAAACATCCGCAAGATGTCCCAGGATACTCCTAGAATATCCCAGGATATCCGGTTCTCTGAGGGATAACTCTAACACTTATTTTCCACGTTAAGTAGAAATCGTTAAATGCAGAACATAGTAGTATATTAAGAAAAATATATACTACAGAGAAAGAATTTGAATTTTCACATTTGTAGATTGACGTCACTGTTATGTCGTCAGTCGCAATTGTCACATTATCATGTTCCTATATTTTATATTATTTTATCAAGTTCCTATACTTTATATTATTTTTTTTATAGTTGAAAAAAAATTTAATATTAAAAAAAAGGTCATGAAAGCTTACAAAATTTTGAAGTCTAGAAAGTTATATAAGTAAAACAAACAGATTAAAATTTTAGAATTTATACAAATTTGTGAAATTTGAAATTGTGTATAAATAAGATTTTTTTAAAAGAATTTTCTAGTTTTCTAGCTTGGTGCGATCATTCCGCAAGTGGTTTCTTTATTTCCAAAAAAAAGAAACACAGCAACTTCTAGTTTTATTTGACGTATTATATAAAATACAATTAGGGGCCGTGTACAAATTACGTAAGGCCAATTTTAAACCCCCCCTCCCCCCATGTAAGGTTAAGTAAGATTTTGTTAGCCTCCCCCCCCTTTCTTACGTAAGGTTTAAAGAAAATATAGGTCAAAAATTAAAGTTACGTATTACACGTTTTATTCTTAATGTTAATAAATTTTTTTAATTATATT